TACTTTTAGATCTAGAAGAATGGTCCTATCTCAGCAGACAATCATAAAACGGTTGCAAAACTGTTGAGTCTGCTGAACGCAGCCAATGACATGATTGAACAAGGATGTCATGTGATTGAACAAGGATGTCATGTGATTGAACAAGGATGTCATGTGATTGAACAAGGATGCCGATGGGGATCTCGTTTTCTGTTTCTTTCTATGCGCTCACGCAGTCTTAGCTGGCTATTCTTCTCTAGTTATACAACCTCTTTGTTCTCCCCACATCTACTGACGGCGGCACGGCCAATGGAAGGGAAAGTCTTAGAGACGCCCACGAAAACGTAGAGTAGAGTTGAGCAGTGCGTATCGTCTGGAATGGTCACGCGCAAATCGCGTCGATTCCAGCCATTTTGACCGACCAATCACCGTTTCTAGTTTAAGCGCTGCGTGCGAAATTTAATTTTTATTCCTAAATCTAGAAGATATAGTTTTCTACTTCCAAGTCTAAAAAAGTGTTAATCTTTATTTCTAAATATAGAAGCGTTGATTCTAATTGTCTAACTCTAGAAGTAATCAGTAATTAATACACTACTTGTAGTTAATGTATCGGTATGAATCATTATAAAATATACACTTAAATAATCTAACTCGACTGAGTATTTTATGGATTCATCCATCTCCTCAATAACTTCGCGCAATATAATCAGCTGCTATCAAACATTTCCGGAAGTGACCACTCGTACTAGTGAGAGACAGAGAGAGAGAGAGCTGCCTGTTAGGCCGGAATCAGACTACGCATTGAAGATCGAGATTGAAGATTGAAAATTAAAATTTGACCAGTGAGAGGACAAAGGAATTTTAGCTCCTATTGTTTTGATTAGTCAAATTTCAATCTTTCAATCTTCAATCTCAATATTCAATGCGTAGTCTGATTCCGGCTTTAGCGGGGCCCTAAATCAACAGTTAATCCACCCTGGGAGTTGCAGAGGCCTTGTTACCAAGAAGACTAGAACTAAGGAGGATCAACTCATGCCAATAGCGGTAGTGGGGGTGAGGCAAAAAGTGGCGACGGATAACTTCCCCCACTCTTGCGCTTCATTAGTCCTCTCTGTCGCTCTATATAGTCGTCGCTCTGTTGTTCTATAATCGTCACTTTGTCGCTCTTATATCAAACTTTCACACAATGTGTAGTGCCGCTGCACATTGTGTGAATAACTGCGGACGTTTTTTGACTCACCCCCACCACACGAGTTGATCTTCCTTAGTTCTAGTCTTCTTGCTTGTTACACAGATCATCCACTTCCACTGACATTTGGGAACATCAGAGGATACTCATTCGAACATCTAAAGGTAATAAGGTTTCATCTCATTCTCCGTTAATTGAGAACTCGCCGCGAATGAACCGCATAGCATAGCTGCGTTCAGCAGACTCAACAGTTTTGCAACCGTTTTATGATTGGCTGCGTTCAGCAGACTCAACAGTTTTGCAACCGTTTTATGATTGTCTGCTGAGATAGGACCATTCTTCTAGATCTAAAAGTATGATCCAATTAGCGCGAAGGAAACTTCCAACAGTTGCAAAACAAACGTTCTGCTGAACGCAGCCCATGTGTCCTGTGTCCCCGCGTTCGCGCGCCCCTATCAACGCTCGCCTCCTAGCGGTCAATCCCTACGTCGCGTGGTTGCGTATCCGTCCTGTTTTATCAGCATAAGGAGAGCGGGAATCGCGAATTTTGTATCCCACCCATAGCCTCAGGTTAGATCGAAACCAGGGATCGGTCGGATCTTTCTGGGACGTAACACAGCACTATTCGGAATAGCGCTGATTGGTTGCTTCAATGGATGCATTCAGTACTACAACTGCTCACTGAGCGCTCAGTGAGTTCTTGTATCTAATTGGCATATCCCGTTAGAACTAAAAATATAGACCAAACAGATACAAGAACCCCCTTAGGTCTGCGACCTAACCCTTAAGATGAAATCATACGGTGCAGAAAAAGACCGCGGAATAGAGAATGCATCTAATGACGCATTCTCTATTCCGCGGTCTTTTTCCGCACCGTGTGATTTCATCCTAAGGGTTAGGTCGCAGACAAAATTTCTGTAACAGTAACCTTAAGACATGAACTTAAGCCGATGAGCCAATCAGGATACTGCTTTAGATCTACGTAATTTGACGGAAATAGACTAAGGGTGAAATCACACAGTGCGGAAAAAGACTGCGGAATAGAGAATGCGTCATTGAAGCAACCAATCAACGCTATTCAGCGCTAATCGGAATAGCGTTGATTGGTTGCTTCAATGACGCATTCTCTATTCCGCAGTCTTTTTCCGCACCGTGTGATTTCACCCTAAG